GGTGGTGGTGGGGGTGGTGGGGGCGGTGGTGGTGGGGGTGGGGGTGGCGGTGGCGGTGGCGGTGGTGGTGGTGGGTGGGGGTGGCGGTGGTGATGGTGGTGGTGGTGGCGACGATGGTGGTGGTGGCGACGGTGGTGGCGACGATGGTGGTGGTGACGCGGCGGTGACGATCGCAGTGATGTCGTGCGTCGTGGTGTTGGTGCGAGGGCGGTGGGGCGGTGGTGGTGGTGATGATGATGGCGGTGATGATGGTGGTGGTGGTGGGGGTGGTGGTGCTTAGAACTGAAGGTCTAGAGGTGCAAAGAGATGTTCGAGCACACATATGACATATATGAGAGTACAGTTGCCGCGCTCCCGCGAAACGTGCACCTCAAGGTCCACAAAATGCTGCGCCTGCCACGAAATCTGCACTTCAAGGTTCACAAGGTGCAGCAAGAGCACTTGCAAAGACAACACCAAGATGCCAAAACGCAGCTTTCGCTCCAGGCTTCCTCCGATTTCTGAAAATGAGCCATGTCCAAAAGTCCCGACTCACTGCACCTGTCACGAAAACAGGGCACCCCAAAGACCACCACCATGTCCAAAGTATTGCGCCTGAAGCAAAGCCTGTACATCGACATCAGGCCACTCTGATCTCCTGTCACGAAAAGTCAACTTTGGACCACCAAACCAGGAGGTTTCCCTTGCGCCTGCCACGAAACGTGATGACCAAGTCGAAAAATCCGCGCGGCACCACAACGAGAGCGCAGTCCCGCGCCAGCCCACCAGATTCTGGGAGCCTGCGCAGTCGAAATGCACTTCGACCATCTCGAGGTGACTAAATGTACTGCAAATAGCAGCGAATTAGCCACACACGCCGATGAGCACCTCGATCAAACACCCGTCCTGAACTACTACCGTAAGAACCCCTAGCACTGTTTGGGGATAAACACTCCATCACTTCTAGGGCCCCGTCGGCCGCATCTTCTGTCGTCTGCTGGTCAATTGCTTCATTGACCTTTTTGGCCAAAAGGTCCGCGTGCAAAGTGACCAGTGACCAGCAAAGAAAGAAGAAAAAGAAGAATTGCTCAAAAGCAGCCTATAAGAAAGCTCTATTGACCTGCCTGCTGCCACTCCTCGTTGAGATTCTGCCCATCCTGGCTGCAAAAGAATCAAGCGCCTAAATCGACTGACAATACGACAGCTAAGTATCAAATAGTGGCTCTCTGCTTTAGCGTTGACCAGTCCTTCTCAAGATGGGACTGCGCCAAGTCCATGCGCTTCCTCAGGCACACCCGGCAGGGTGAAAAAATGACATGCGAACACCCCTGAACACCGCCGATGCACCTCTCGGCCTCGATGCGAGCCTGGCAAAACGAGCCGAAAACTGAAGAACAGTCCCAAGAGCCCAAGAATTCTTCAAATTGAAATGCACGGACAAACGATGAACGTGATAAGCTTCAACAAACTGAAATTCTCTTATTAACCTGTTGCCGATCATTGTCTTCCAAGGCTGCCTCCTCTGCGTTAACACGCAATTGACATCGCTCTTCATTTCTCTGGAATTCCTGACAAGGTTGCTGCTGTCAAAACAAACTGAGCTTGCACATAATAGCACTATATGACAACCCACCTCCTGCTCTTCTCCTTGAATCGCCTGGCTGTGGTGAAAGCAATGTTGTATTTGGCTTCTTCAAAGGGTCATGAAGCAATAGATGCTAGAATCATAATGTGCTCTTTCTCTTCAATATCAAGTAAAACCACCCGACCTGCAGTTCGGGCGTATTGAAATTACACTAGAAACATTGTGGGCGACTCATTGGGTTTCTCTCTTCAAAAGACCCCGTGGTCAATTTGCTGGTACCTATTTTGGCAAAACCGTGACCTTCTTCGCCCAAATGTGATGGGCTTTCCATTGCTCTGATTGGGTCCGAGCCTCCACCCGCTCCAGAGCTTGCTTGGACAGCGAGGCGCGATCCCTGACCAATCTCAAGGCTCATTGCATACAATAAACAGTAGACAGTAACAATAAAAGAAGAGAGCTTTACAATCATGTAAAAAAATTGACAAAATGTTTCCTTGCTTCCTTTCTTCGGGCCTAGTCAGGCTCAAAAGGTGTTCGGCAAAACTGACGAGCTTCTTTGCTCCAATTGCCACCTCAGCTTACTCTTCTTGAACAGATGCCGAGCTTTGTCGCTCAAATGGCCTCTTCAAGCTCTCGAGAGATTTTGTCCTTGAGCTCTTGAATCGTTGCGTCCAGTGCATCGGCCTCACCCCAATACCAAATTCCGCAGCGCCCGCTCCCCCCTTCCCTACTCAATTAAGTAAGGGAGAAGCTAGTAGCTTAAATAGCTACGAGTTAGGACTCAGGATAGCTCACGCTAATGATTTGGTTCCTAGAGTTTTAGGGAAACTTAACAAATACAGATACAGATCGACTTGCCACCTCACCTTTTCATACTCTTCCTGTTCGCACAAGGTGTTTTGTTCAGCCTGCCACTCCAAGGCTGAGCTAAGAAACATTGTGAGGACATGTTGAACTAATTGGATATTCCTTTCACAGCAAAGCTAGTGGCATCAAAACCAAACCTCCGTCTCTTCTAGCTTCACACGGAGCGAGGCTATCTTCTCAGCCGTTCGCTGGCTTTCTGACAAACAAACAGCCTGGCACACATCTGCAAGGACTCTTCTCTCTTGAAGAGGAGTCTGAGCAATTGTTGTGATTGCACCTCTTCTTCGAGCAAGTGTTTCTGCTCCTTGCTGTGATGGTTTCAGCCCAAAGTCATCCAGGGTCCAAATCTAGAGAGAGTCTGTTGAGATTGACTGGCCGCAGGAAATTATCTGCTCATGCCTTCTCGCTCTTCATCTTCTGTTCATCCAGCCATTGCCAGACCCCAGAGACATTGAACCTTGGCAGGATCTCCAGTAAGCAGCTGGCCAAATATGAATTTTATGGATTGTCTCTTTGTAGGAACTGGTCCAGGGTAGAAGAGCAAATCTACTAGAAACATGATAGGGGAATATCCACATAAACTGCCTTTCTCTCCCTCCCTCCCTCCCTCTCCCTCTCCCTCTCGCTTTCGGTCTGGCTCTCCCTCTCGCTCTCCCTCTCGCTCTCCCTCTCGCTCTCCCTCTCGCTCTCCCTCTCGCTCTCGCTCTCGCTCTCGCGCTCTCTCTCTCTCTCTCTCAGCAGCTTGCGCGCCCTTCAGCTGCTCTTCCCTCACACATGGGGCAAAACTGCTGATTTCATGCATCACATGCCGAGACACTCAGATTCAATACGTACGACATAAACCACGGCGTATCCTCTCTATTGCTGCAAAGCGAGAGCTTGTGAGGTTCTGCAACTCTCTGCTTTCATTCGCTCTCAGGCTATTGCGGAGATGGTGGGGGTGGGGGTGGAGGCGGTTTGGCCTTTGCCTGCATCAGGTCAACGTAATGCAAAACACAAGAGCAACGCGTTTGTACCCTTTCGGTTGCAGTTTCCATTGTTCCTTTGCCGCCGTCCTTATTTGTTTCAGCCCTTTCTATGGCCTTTGGCTCCACTGGGCTTGGTGTGGGAGCAGCTCGTGGTTGCTCAGGGACGGGTGGCCTAAGCCAGGTGGAGCAAGCTCGAGGCACTGCCATTTGCTACAGCTTGTGTGGAATGTTGTTCCCTTCTCGATGACCGTGTTTGAAGGTCAGTTGATGCTTATTCAAGGCCTGTAAAATGCTATCAAACAAGAGTTTGATGCTCGCTCCAAACATTACCCAGCCAATCTTTGGCAGCTTGAGTTTCTCAGGGCTGCCACTTGGGCAAGGTCGCAACAACAGGAGCCTCGGAGCATGTCCATCAGCAGCCTTCCGAACACCTGGCCCCTCTGAGAAGTTGACCTCTTCAAGGCGCTCGGTGTAGCCAGCCTTCACTGGACCGGAGCAACTCATCACTGGACCGCTAACCTGTTGGACTGGAAGAATTCAAAAAGATTCTCGCGGCCGCCTGAGATTTCGGGTCTTCAGGAATCCGTGCACCCTCAACCTATCAAATCGTGGAGGAAAAAACATCCACTCCTAAGATCCACATTTTTGTGCTTAAAAGGCCTGCTCGAGGGGAGGACGTTGTTCAAACGCAGGCTCTTGCGCCTGAAGAGGGATGCAATACATCAAACTTCACGCCTCAGCTTCCTATATATATATATATAAGCAGCTGGTATGGCTTCTTTTTGCCACATCATTACATCATTACAAGTTTAATCAATTTTAGCAACAAGTTTAGGATGGCCTTTCTGCGATTATCTGATGCGCCTTTGCTTGCTCGGCCTCCATTGCAGCCAACTGATCGAGAGATGCAGGGAGATGAGGCCTCAGACTCGCATGACATCAAGAAGCAATTGCCCACACTGCAGTTGCTCACATACACATGTATGCTCTCTGTCTGTCGGCGAAACATACATATATATATAGGTATGTGTATGATATATGATATATGTATTGTGTGATGGGTACAATGAAACAACCGTCCTTAAGTGAAGAGAACGGTGTTTCAGTTCATGTCTGTAGGATTGGGATGAGCCATGTTCGGGCACAAAAGGGCCAGTGGAAAGACGGAAAGAGGAACGAGAGGAGTACCTACCAACCTCGCCCTTGCAATCAACAGTTTTGGCCATTACCTTTTTGCACGGGTTTCTCTTAAAGTTGTGTCAAATCCTTCGTCTGCATTGCAAAAATGAAAGCTCCTATGACCGCATTTCTTGCCAGTCACTTTCCCTCATACAGCATCGTCTTCAAGCACAGCAGCTCTCCTTCTCAGCATTTCTTTGCAGGAACTGTCAGATCAAGATCACAATAGTTACGGTGACGCAGTTCCGCTTGGAGAGGCCCAAATAAAACCATATAATATAGCGACAAAAAAAATGGAACTCACAGCAGACCATTGAGGTGAGGAAGTGATGGTGCCACTCCGCTCCTATCCGCTTATCGAGTTTGGGTTGTCATTGTCCAGGCAAAAAGTGAGGGCACAATCCTTGCTCCCCGACTCATGGACATATAACTCGCCTACGCCTACTCACAAAACAACCCCGTAAAGCCTCTATTTTGTGTGCTATGTGATTGCATGAGCTGGGAGCATGGCCTGAGTCTAAGGTCAACTCAGCTGCCCTAAAAATGTCTGCACCAAAATTTCTTTAGGCCAGGACATGGGAGCTGGTTCTGGAGGTGGAGGTGGCTTTGCTGCGGCCTGTAGTGCTGGTGTACAAACTCTCTACTGTAACTTGGTTAGAGTCAAAAGGGCACGCGACAAAGCTCTTCTCTTCACAAGCCACTTTGGGACCGTGCACCCAACTAGCCTGCACATCCAGAGGTGGCTTTTCCTCAAAAGGGCTCCTCGGCTGATGTGAGTCACGGGATAACATCGATTCGAAACGTGTGTCCTTGCAAAATGTGCAAAGCCTGCCCCTTTCCAAGTCCTATTCTTGAAACACGAAGCATCCTTCCAAGGTGCTTCTGGGGATCCTAAGCCTCCAACTCTTCTGGAATGCTCACAGACTGGCGAGGGGGTTCAACCCCAGCTGCCTTGCCCCCATGTTCAGTTCATGAGCAAAAGAGCTTCAAATCCGTGGTGCCCTGGCTTCCAGTTGCCATTTTGCGCCAATACTGTAACTTATGAAACCACTGACAAAAGCATTCTCTAGACCAGTGAAGTGCTCAATGTTTCAAAGGCTGAAGAGAGACAGGCATGGCTGTGAATGACTGGAGGTGTCAGGGACAAAAGCGGACCATTACAGCCTCCTGTGGTCGCGATGCATGGCCAGGCAGCAAAGCCTGATCAAGAACGCTCATCTGAAGAACAGAAAGAACTTTTGGAGCCATCGGGCGAAATGAAAATCCAAATGAATCCCTGGCTTGTTGACTGACTGGCTCTCCGTCATTGTCCTCACAAGCAAGCTCTCTCATACGTCATTGTCCTCATAATCCCCCTTCTGCCTTCCGTGTCTTCCTTCTTGCGCCACTCTCTGGCACAGCTGCGCTCGCTGCGCTTGATGCAACAGGTATACTTGCTATGCCAGGCACACTTGCTGCGGTAGGTGCACTTGTTATGCTGGGGACACTAGGTGAAGCGTGTGCACTGGCCATCCCTGGAACTTCAATAGGGTGCTCATGGTCCTTGGAACGGCGCACACACTGCGGTGAACTGTCTTTCTCAGTGCATGCCTAAACCCTCCAGAGTCTTTGAAATATCGTATTTCTTTACATGCAAGCATCGTCTTGAACGTCTTGAATTGGTCCGGCTTACCCATGGATAAGATCTCGACGGAGCTTTGACTGCCAGCACTGCCACCACTGAGGAAGGCAAAGGCAGAGCCCCCACCCCTGAGCGGCTACAGGTACAGCTTCAGCTGGTCAATATGATAGCGGTGTTTTATCAGCTTACACCCTGGTTTCCTTACCGCTCTTACCTTCGATGTCTACATGTCTTTCGCTTTGGACTGAAAACAGGATCATTTGGTCCAGGTGTGTTGGGTCCGCCTGCCTTGGGTGTTTGTCGTAAAAGCCATAGAACCATATCATAAGCGTCATTAGCATATGATACCTTATCACGGTTTTCTTTCAGAGCCAGGAAGTGGAGCACCTGAACTGGCTCGGTGTAAGACCGAAAGGGTTGATGCAGGCAGATTCCTTCACAGCTTGCCGCAAGTCATTACTGGTTTCGATGTTTCCTGGGAAACTTGGGTACTGGCAACGGGCTACCTTCTTGCAGAGGAGCGGGTGTTGGTTCCGCCACCTGTGCATGTCAATCAAGCTTTCTGCGGCAGAACACTTCTACGTTCGTCTACGCTTCGTACCTCGGCGCTGTTGAGGAAAGAGAACACGGACTCCTCAGCGAACATGTCGCTGCGCTGGCTGCGCTTGTCATTGTGAGCTTGTGTTCAAAAGACCCTCGATCTGTGTAAGCTCACAACTTGAGGCTGCGAATTTGCTGCCTTTCATTGAAGCAATCTTCCAACAACTGGCTTGAAACGGCTTTGGGACACTGAAACGGCTACTGAAAGTGTAAAGAGCATCGGCTAGCTTATGAGGCCCATGAGGCCGAGTAGCTGTCCCTGCCTTCTTTGAAGGCTACTGACGCAGTAGAGTCTAATGATACTTGTGAAACCGTGACGCATACTAACACATGTGCCTCAGAAGCTGAGTTCAGAAAACCGAAAGCAGAGGTACCTGCAGAGTGTTCATCCAAGCAAAGAGCAGACAAGCCGTAGAATCACATCCCTCGCGACCAAACCAACTTCGTCTGGAAAGCAGCGAAGCCAAACCGAAAAGATCCGGCCCAGCACCTTTTGCAGATTGGCGCACCACCTTCTCCAAAACCCCCACCTTGCCCAAATATGTCTGTACCTTAGGTAGGGTCCGGCCGCCGTGTGGAGGGTGTGAATGCTTGGGGGGGATGGCTTCCCATCCCCTCTCAGCTCTGTGCTTCCTATATTGTCTTTTTCCTGACATCAGGCAGCTTCATAGACAATCGAGGCCGCAAGGTACGCTGGGAAATATGTGCACAAAGACGTGCAAGCTGCGACAGTATGGACGAAGTCACAACATCTTTGGCACCTTCTGTTTTTGTGGACATCTATATCCACGGCAGAAGGACCCAAGCAAAGCAAGCAAAAGCACATGCCAGTATCTCATTTGCTTGGCTTGGAGGGTCTTCGGACGGTGACCTTGCATATTCTAAATTGCAAGCACTGCAAGCAGCCCACAGGTGGGCTGAATTACGAGTCACCAAGATCCTTGCGCCATGTCATTGGAAAATCAAATGCGCCATGTCATTAGGGCGTGCTTGAATAGTCCAGGCTGGATGGCAACTGTGTACATTTTGTGGCAAGCGTCAAGGCTGAACAAGTCTTTCAATTCAAACAAAAACCAAGGACCAATACTGACAAATGCTCGAAGGACTTACTCACAATCAGGGTTTATCCCCTTCTCACAGATGATGCAAAAGGTTGAAGAGTCTGAGCAAAGATTTGCAGTTGTCGCATATCAGTCTAGCTGGAGCCACGGCTCTTTCCACGCAATGGCAAAGGATTTACTCTGCCGGTAGCTACCAAGCTTCTTGCAAAGCAATACTCACAAAGGGAGCCTTTTCTCTGTCAGAGACAAGACGCGTACAATCCCTGTAGCATCCGGGTAATTTCATTGTCTCAACCATTGGTGAGACACTCTTGTCAGGTGAGACATCTACTTTCAAGATGCTTAACAGGCTTAACAATGTACAATACTGATCTGCGTTGATCTCCAACTCAGCATGAATGCTACCAAGTTGTTGCGATTGTTGTTCTCACAATTGAGGCCTTCAAGAGACAGAACCCCTCATCGCAATGGAGGATCGTACCTTCATCTTGCAGTGATTGGAGAGCAAGTGCAGTAGCGATGCGCCTTGCTACTAGTAGTTTCTTGCTACTAGTAATAATGCCAGAAGCTACTAGTAGCGATGCCCTTGCTCCTAGTAGAAATGCGCTTTAATACTAGTGGGCCAAGCTGTAAGCTCCAAACGGTGCAGTCTTTGCTCGAGTGTTGTCTCGAGACGTCTTGGTCCTAGGTTCGATTGACTGGCAGGGCCGTCAGCTTTTCAGATATATATCTGAGAAAGCGGACCCCCCTCTTAGAGATAAGGGAGATGAAGTGGGGCTTGAAGCCTGAAAGGTTCCACAGGAGCTGACAGACTAGTGCTCCACATGCTCATTTCAATCCAAGACTTGTCGAACCTCTCTCCTTCACGCCTTTCCTTATCGAGTTAGGATCCAAACCGGCTCTGAGGGGCTTCCAGAGGTCGCTTTCGGAGTTCCCTCAGAGACACGACAGAAACTAAAGGAACACTGAAGTTCCTGTGCTGCTGAGCTCAGGGCAGACGGATCCCCAAGACCTGACGTGGCAGACGACTGATTTTTGCACTGAGTCTCTTGCTGCTCAGAGAAGGAAATCATTACCGCTCCAGACAAGGCCTGTCTCGCTGCCTCAGGCATGAGCGGGATGAACTGATCTCTTTTTCAGAAGAGTCTCCAACAAATCTTTGAGAAAAAAACGATAAAACCATCAAGTGAAGCGTGTTTGCAGCACAAAGCTGGAAAACAGGAGAAGTTCATTGAGCGTCTGACGAGCTGAAACAAGCCCACCACGCAGCGGTCGCACAATGGTCGGCGCTCTTCGAGCCTGAGATTCCGGTGCGGTAGGTAGAGAAGATTGCGCTCACGCGACATCACAAGAAGGAGCCTGTGCATTGCCACCACTGGCACCACACACACAATTCTTTCTGCCTCTCACCTCCGCACGACAGCGAAAGTGTGCCTTACTAGTAACAGGTGCCTTACTAGTAGTAACAAGAAGCTAGTAGAAACTAGAAGTCTCCTGCCATCTCTGAGGCACTTGCGTCGATCATGGCAGTGAGATTGGCACATTGTGTGAGCAGCTTTTCGTACTTTTGCTTGGCCTGTGTGAGCTCACGGAAAGTCAAACCAGTGTAGATCACCCCAGGTCTAAAGCCCGCGGATAGCTGAGAAGGCTGGGACCAAAGCATGCAAAGGCAAACTGACTTACTAACCAGTTGTGCTTTTCAATTTTCAATACAAACACTCTCGAAAACCATTGCCCAAACGTGATTCCCATCACAGGGCCTCCCGCAAGTTTCTTTCCAACTGCTGGATGCGCTGGTCTTTCCGCTGAATTTTCTTGTCACTTTCGGTGACTTCCACCTCAAACAGAACTGCTTTGTGGGCCCAGTTAGGACTATGCTAGGCTAGCTTCACCTTCAGCCCACTATTCTGCGCCACCAGCTTGTGGTACATCACCTCAAATACAAAGACTGCAAAGGACGAGTATAAATTCTATCTAAAGTTTCTAAATCTGTCCACTTGCCTTTCCACAGAATCATAGTCTACCAGCCACGCCGAGCCACAGTTAGTTGTTCCAGATTCTTGTCCAACTGCGACACCTGCAGTTCATCTGCTCCTTTTGCCAGAATAGTCCAGGCCTGGTGAGCACCTTCTTCTTTAGTGGTCTGTCGGGATCTCGATCCTGCAAGCAAAATGTCCGTGGTTTGGGGCACCAGACTGAGACATACTCAGTGGCTGGTTCTTCACACATAGCCACGCCTCTGCACAAGATGCACGGCAGCGAGAGCACACCACAGGCCTTAGAGGCCAACCCCTGCTGCATCAAGTGGAGCTGCTGTGCAAGTCCTTTCTCTTTTCTGGTCGGTAAGGTCACGGCCCCTTTTCCCTGTTCGTCGGGGTACTAGCAGCCTGCCACGGTGCCAAGCCGCCGGTTTTGCTTGCAAACTGGACCAGTTCCTCTAGGCACCAGACTGAGGCTTGAATCATATTTTGATAAGTCTTGCTCAAATCCTCGGTCATTCGGTCGTTCGCCTTTGTAAAGGTTGAAAACACCATGTCTGATTGCACAAAGATGCCATGGACGCTCCTCCAATTCTTGCTGCAAGGCTGTCTTCTCATGTCTAAGCCTGGCATGTTTGTCTCAACAAACCGAGATGGAAATCCATCACCCAGTACCGCTACAACCACTTGACGACTTGTCAATTTCGGCGCACTTTTCGAGCTCAGACACCTGACAGCATTTGGTTTCAGCCGGTTGCTTCACACAGATTCAGAATCACACCAAGCGCATGCCTGCTCTGTCTTGTCATACTCCATCCTCTCAAACTCCTGCTTGGCCTCAGAAACTGGAGTTTAACGCATCGTCTTCATGCAAATGCAGGAAAAAAGAACTTAAGAAGCAAACATTGACGGCTTCCTCCTCTAATACTTCGGCTCTGCCTTCGGCTTTGTGCAGCTGCCTGGTCTAACGATGTTGCCGTGCTCTCAATATTGATGCAAGGTTCACATGGTGGAGCTAAGTCATGAACTTGGCTAGCTCATCTTTCTCCTTGTTGGCCTGTGACGAGGAGCATCGACACAAACTAGAGGCGTGGTGAGAAGCAATAGCTCAATATGTCTGGCATATTGAAACTGGACAATGGCCAAGTCAATATTGTCACCTCGGCAAGCTGATCAGACTTCTCTTTCAACTTGTCTATCACATCCTGGAAGAGTCAGCTACGAGTAGCCACTCAGAAATCTTGAAGAAGCAACTGTCTGATCAAGTTTCAAGAATGTCTGCCAATGCTGCAAGAACAAAAGCAACAAAGTCCTGTAGCTGATCCTCGTATTCCGTCTTCTCTGCTTCGTCGACTGGTGCGGGCGGAGCAGCTCCCGGCAACGCGAGGGAAGGACCCTCGTCCTGGATGCGCCGAAAGAAACACTTTCTAACACAAGCCTGACGTGTCAAGCTACTGCTGGTCGTGTGCTCCTCCGGGACCGGAATCCCATTGGACCGAAGCAGCTGCTCCAACCTCTGACGCACACCAATGCTATAATCAGCTATAGGGTGGAGGCCATTGCTATATATTAGAAACAAAGAAAAAAGAAAAGGAAGAAGGTCTTCTTTTTCTTCACTCAGAGCCATACAGCGAGACACGACCACGCAAATCGCCTAGAGCCTTGCGTCACATCGCGGCTGAAAAATTCAAACTCACCGAAATGACCATCACAAGCATAGCGTGGCCCACAAAATGATCTGAATGCAACTGTGCCTGGTCCCGCCGTTGTAGCAGCATCTTCAGTTCCTGGGTCTGAAGCCGTTCTAATAGCGTTGAGGGTTGACGCGCAAAGACAAATCTTGCATCGATCCACCACCACGGCCATTGAAAGATTCCAATGAGTGAAGACATCTGAAACTTGTTACTAATAGCTTCTTGTTAATACTAGTAAGGCACCTGTTACTACTAGCGTGGCACTTGTTTCTAATAGCTTCTTGTTACATACTTTAATTATCTTTATTACATCACTGGAAACCACTCTCGCTCAAAGGGTCGGGTCCGTTGGTTCAAAGGTAGGTCCCAGGCCTCTACGGATCGCTCATGGTTGACTTTGACCACGTTCTTGATCATCTTGGCCTTGATTGAGGACACGGAAGAAAAAGAAAAGCCTAAAGTCACTAAAGTCCTAAAGAAAAGAAAGGACAAACACCTAATTATGAAGGAAGAGAAGGTCAAAGGCGTGCTCGAGTGAGGCTGTCCAATTCATTCCAACTCCGGAAAAATGCCCAGTCACTCTCTGGCCAAAACGAAGGGTGCTAATTGTCTCCTGGCTTCGTAGAATGCAAGTGCTTGGCCGCAAGTGCTTGGTATCCACATGAAAATGCATTCCAGTCCTGCTCATTATAGTAAGAAGGAGAGCACGTTATGATCAAAGAGGTCTTTGCATTTCCGCCCAAGGATTCTTGGAGGACCTGCGCCGACAATCTTCAAGCAAGGGTCCCGTTTCGCTTGGTGGCATCAAACGCTGAGACTTAGGGCCGTGGCTCTTGAAAGCTTTGAGTCCCGATATGGTACATGAGTGGACTTGCGGTCAGTCAAAGCGTTAATGACCTTGGACGTGACATCGCTGTCTCGAGGCAGGTGGCAAACTCTGAGAACCCACCAGAAACGATGACTTACACACATGTTTTGACCAAATCTGAATGTCATGTGCTCCTAGTAGTAAGGCCAGGAGCCCCTAGTAGCGTCCCTGCTCCTAGTATATAGCGATGCCAGGAGCCCCTAGTAGCGTCCTTGTTCCTAGTTAATGTTCTTCTCTGGTTTTTGGCTCATGGATTCTTTGGGCCATTTGGGCCTTCGTCATTTGCACCTTGGACAATTGGAGGCTCCAACAACTGCGATGGTACACCTGGGACTTTTGCAGCTTCCCTTGGCTAACCAGAACCCACTTGAGGCCTGGGCGTTGCCTAGTGCAGACAGCGACCGGTTGATGTTTTTTGCCTGAATCAAAGCCGCGGAAGCATGCAACATGCAATCATGCATTCTGTGAATGGCCTCATCCAACCGATCACCAGTCGCCCCAGTCTTTCCAACCTGGCAAACAGAAGTCGCATCTCTCTTTGGGCCCACGCGCAGCGTGGGGGGGGGGGGCACAACATCGCCTTCTCACTGCCAGCCAAATCCACCAAATGAAGCTTTCCGACCTGGGCACTGGGCACACTCCGTGGGCAGGTCGCTGAGCTTCGCATGCGCCCAGCTTCGCTGGGCTTCGCATGCTGAGCGCCCAGCCTTGAGGGAGCGATCGTGCAGGTTCTTCTGCTCGATGGTGAGCATGAAGATCAAATGAGACCTGAAAAAGAAGAACCAAACAAAAAGAAACAAAAAAGAACACATGAAGCGATGGGGCGCACTATTACAATTATGTAAAGTAAATGCTTGCTGAGCATTTGTGCACATGGCAATCACCATTCTTAGGCCTGGATGAATGTTCGTTCAAATTGGTCTCAGCCACTGCACGATTGTACTTGCCCGTTTTCCTTGGCCGGTTCCGGATGCTTCAATGAAGCTTCCCAACAAAGCGGCAAAATGCTTTTGGAGGGATGGTCAAAGGGCATGGAACTTTTGGTGAGAATTTAGTGTGTCCCCATGTCCATCCCCAACTAACCGCGAACCCCAATACGTTACCAATCCATCGTTAATTTTGATCATCCCTGGTATCACTCTCTCAAGTGACATGATGTCGAAGATCTCCTGCTCCGACCTAGGTCGACTCAAAAATCCATGCACATTTTCTCAGCTACTGGTCCCTTCTCTTGGATGCCACACCCGACATAGGTCTCAGTCACCCCTCCGATGAAAACACCTCTGGCCTCAGTACAGCTGCTCAGCTTTTCTTTATGTTGATATACTTTGATTGTGGATAACAAAACGGTTTCGTCATGAACTTTGCCTTGTCCTCATGAATCTTCAAGTTGTCCTTCTTCGGATCAAGCAAGTCACGGATGCCTGCGGTGCCACTGAAAACACACGGATGCGAGAGTCGCAGATGTTTTCGAGTCGCGCGTTCATTGTAGATTTCCACAATGGCAACTTTCACCACAAACTCGATGTAGTCAGCTGCCTCAGAGTTGTTCGCCCCACACACAAGGAGTCATACATCCAAAACAACCAAGTCATGACTGACCCGCTCATCTGTCGAGGACCCGCACATGGTCAATTCCATCAAAAATCGACCAAACCATCCTGCTCAAAACATAGCGACATAGCGATCAAGATCAAAATTTCTCCGTCATCGCAACCTTGTCATGAATCAAGCATTCGAGTACAGTGGCCTCGGAATCACACCCATTTGGACCTCATCTTCGATGTCAGGGCCCTGACATACAGCACTCTGCACAAGGGCACATCCTTCAACAAATTGGGTGCTTCGGAAATGCCTCCATAGTGTGTGTCTTGCCTGATGCGGTCTGGCCTGATGTCTTCGGGAGATGTTGAACACCTTTTGCAACAAGCTGGGATCCCGACCATAGGCGAAAACCGTGCCGTTAAAGCCTCTCAACCTTGCATTGCGCACATACTGGAAAAACTGAATAGATAACATGTCTAATTGTGTGGCTGGCAAATTCAACTTTGCAATTGTCTTCAGCGTCCAGCACGCCATTAATGATAGGTTTCGCCGCATAGTCATAAACCTCCAAGCAATGACTATTTACGGCTCAAAATTGTCACAAAAGCTGCGAACGGTGTCACCTCTTTCTGCGAAGCTTCAGAGCCAAAGACACGGTCAAAGACAAAGCTGCTGTCAATGTTCGGAACGTACCTGAATCAACAAACAGGAGTTTTGGCTTGAACTGTCTTCAATCCGTTTCAAATCCGTTTCACGATATCATGGCATATAATCTCAAAAGCTTTTCCCGCAATCTCCACAGTGCACGGACAGCTTCTAACCTCACCTTGGACACAAGTTGAGATTGTGCCCCAGGGATGATGTGTTGAGAGCTATCCAAGGCTGCATATGACAGCATATCAGGTTCAAAATAGGATTTGTCCATCCAAGCCAACAAAGTTTCACCAACATAGGGAATGCATCCACGGAGACACGCATTCCATGCTTCTGTGCTCAACGCGTCAGGGGAATTCTTCACAGCCTCAACAGTGAGAGACAAGGTCTGTCTCCAATCTCCCTTGCTGCAGGCCGAAATCGCAGCAGACATGGCCAGTGGATCGATTTGCTCCTTACCCGGCTTGCTGGGAATTGATCGCAACTCCTCCATGATTTGTGCTGTTTCCTTCCAAATGCCGCACTTCTCCAGCACATCCAGAGCTGCTCCGTAAAGAACTGGGCCAACCAGAACTTTTGACCTCTTGGAGTGCCTTAATATTTCGATTGGCCACTTCCACAGATTTGCTTTCTCATACGCACTCGCAGTGGCTGCCAGTGAGACTTGAGTCATACGAACGCCTGTGTCTCTCAAATTTGCAAACAGTGAGGATGCTAATTGCCACAGTCCATTGTTTCCACATGCACTGATGGCAGCATTCTTCCCAATCACGTCAACCTGAATGGCCGAATGTAAGCAGAATTGGTCTACAACTGACACGGCTGCCTCCCATTGCAACCTCTTCTCACAAGCAGTCACTAAGGTATTGATACTGAAATCATCAGGCGAAGCCATGTCGCTTCGCATGAAACCAACGAGCGAAAGGCTTCGGTGCCAAAAAAGTGCTTGTCCCAGGGTAGCCATGGCTGTGTTGTAAGATATTCTGCTTGGTTCCAAAGCGTGCGCTGAAACTCTTTCCAAGCACCGCAAAGAAAACCTCCAGCTCTCTCCTTCTTTTCTTCGACTCGCTTTCTCGCAAGCACTTGATAGAGCATTGAAGCATTCCACCGTCAGTTCAATGCCAAGAAACCTCAGTCTCTGAAGCATTTCTAGTCCAAGCCACCATCCTCCTCTCCCACAAGCTCCAGTTGCCTCACTGCTACTGGACCGCGAAGCCGAATCACGAATCTTTCCCACCGAAGCAAGCACCATCAACCAACGGGCACCTCGTGCAACTGCACTCAACACTGTTCGTTCTACTAAAGGAAATCCCTCCTGCTCTCGTTGTAAGATCATCTCGAGAGCACTTCGCCAGCGTGAGTCCCGAATCGTCTGATAAATGGAGTCAGTCTGGATTGTAATCTTTTTGTTGCCTTTTGTCATGTACTGTCGTTCCTTTCGGTTTTGTCCGGCAACACCTCTTGGTCACACCAGCAACATCAGGAAGCACACGCCGCGAGGAGCGTCTGCATCTCGAAATTGCATCCTGCTGCAATCTTGGGAAGCAAGATAGCATGCAGCACGGTGCATGCTGCTTGGAGTCTCGTGGCTGCGTGGTTGCGTTGCAAACAAGAGCTGCCCTTAGCTCTGAAGGTGCTAGAACTTCTCACAAAACGGTTCCCTCACAATTGCAAAAGGAAAAGCATCTCTTGTCACCAACCTTGAAATCTGTCCTCGACAAACGTAGAAAAAAACAAAGAGTCCGACAGGCTGTGGCAGGGCATACCCTTTTAGCACTTTGATGTGTTTTGATGTGGCATGTAATCCCCCGACATGTGTAAACCCATGTCATGAAATTGCTGTCCTTATACAGTAAATATGTAAAAACAAATCCAACTTGGTATAAAACACCGTTGATGATCAAACGTTGGGTATGATGACATTTTCCAAAACTGCCTTCTTGAACACTATTTTTTGTAAACTTGATAGCGTAAATATGCATACATACAAGCAACGTGTCCCTCTTTGTGAGAACCGCAATTTTGGATGTTTTTGTTTGAGAAATGAAACTGTGGTAGATGCTTCATCCACAAACAACAATCTAGCTAAGAAGGGAAGAGCCACTTGAGCAGGAGAGTGATTCATAGACGAGCGACTGGTTGTAATTATATGATTTACAGCGACCAATTAATCCTCTTGTATCTGGTCTAGCTCCATACATTATAGCGTTCCTTGTTGTTTCTCAGCAAAAATGACGGTGCTAAGCGAGAAATAGAAATCTACTTGATCAAGAGGACAGCCTCTCGAGAATAGGAACAGCTGGTGAGCAAATCAAAACTAACAATGTAAAAATGTGAAGAAGAGATCAAGAAATAAAGAAACACAGGAAGAAGTAAGAGATGAATCAAACCAATTTGACAAAGGAAAGCTGAATACGAAGAACAGAGACAAAGTAGGAACAAAGCAAGGGTATAGGAACACTAATCAAGAAAAAATCAAATATGTTCGGATTGTAATATGTTTTGAACATATTTCAAGGATAGGAGGATAGGGTTTGGTGCCGCAAAAAGCGGGAGCAGCCAAAATTAAACGGGGCATGAGACCATCAGTTTAGCATGCGGAAATCTGAAGAATGAAGGAGGATCCAAGTAAGGCTCGAGTATATAAACTTACAAAAAGGGACGCACAAACTAGTCAAAAGGGGAAATTGCAAATCAAGATTGCCAGGTATCTATAAGTTGTACATTACCGCGGAAAAAAAGAAGGGATGGGCGGGATAGGTCGACTGTCCCAGGACTGTCCCAAAATTGAAAAAATGAGAGGTCTTCGGCTGGCAGTCAGGGTCCCTAAAAGAGTTTGTTTTGATTATAGGTTGCTTTGTTGGTGATTGCTTCACGGTTTAGTGTGTGTTTCCCCGGTTTGTTGGTTCTTGCTTGATTTTGTGTGGAAGCCCGGAAGCCCCAGGAATCTCGACCTGTTGGTTTTTCCCTAGTTTTCTGACAAGCATTCACCACACATGTGACTTGGCTTCAACAAAAGACCCCAGGCAAACATCGCAGTACTTCAAAACAAAAATATGTTGCAAAATGTCAAACACCTGCACTGCCAGGGCCTTCCGTTCTGAAAAAATAAATAGGGTCTATGATCAGCCGCCTGTCTCGACTCCCTACTTCATCTACAGGAGAGAGCAGAATCGGCTGTCCCTTCAATTGATCTATCAACGATGACACGCCGAATCGGAAACGCGGGTCACACTGAGGTGATGTCATCACCTAGGGTTATGCAGATCTTCCCAGATTGATCCTTCTCCAGCTGGTTCTGCGGCCGGAACCTACACTGTCACATGTCAGAGAGAGGGAGGTTGCAGGACAGAACTTGCGAAAACAGCCACGAGCCTGCAGCAAACTTTGATGCTTTCTTCATGCCTCATGTATCAAAGAGATGTATGAAGCTCAAAACTGTCCAGAACTACTGAACATGGACTGGGAACACCGGCGGATCCTGTCCATCAAAGGCCATTTGCAAACTGTGGGCTTCTACCTCAAGAATAAATTAGCATCGCGTGAAGGGATCAATGAGAACATTTGGTCAAGCCTGAACAAGTTTTCACAAATTGATTACTCACAAAGCCGGCTAAGTGTGCCGAGTGCGGCTCTGACTTTGCTCATGGACCTACAAAGAACGGAGGCAAGACGTACACCAACGCAAGTCCATAATCATTGAATCATATCTTCAGTCTTCCGTTCAGCCTGGCCACACAATCAGAGTTTTCTACTCTAACCTGAGACAGCTGCCTCGAGTCAACCAGTTGCCATTTGGACGCAAATATACTCCCCAGAACCCTTGAGCTTAAATTGCTTTCATGCAAACTTTATCTTGCAAAAGCCACACAAATTTCTGAAGAAAAGGCAAGAACGCAAAACACTTTAGACTTTATTGCATTCCGTTTTTGTCGTGAGCGCTCGCTTGTTTGCAGTGTCCGCACATCAGTGGACAGCCTAGACCGCACTGGCTCAGGTGAGTGCAAGAACAGTTAAATGTGACAAAGGCACAGCCTTCCAGAGAAGCCTCCTGCGCGTGCCTGCACAAAGGTATCAACATGACTAGCTCTGTTAAAGCACTCTGCTGAGTCCTCCCTCAATTGACACGCCTTCGCAGGGGATACTAGCGGAACTCGCACAGTGCCACCCTTAAAGCAGAATGATGACAAGCTTGTTGAAAAAACACATGACAAGAATGCAGTTCTTCCACCTCAAACAAGTCTTACAAAAACATGCAAAAGTCCTGCCAAGTGCAGGGCATCAACGAAGGCACTCCTGCCCACGTGCACTTGAAGGGTTTGAGATCCAGCAGTAGCAGGTGCCCGTAGTCATAGCATTAGCAGCAGCGGCGGCGGGAGCAGCAGGAGTAGTAGCAGCAGAAGGAGGCGGAGGAGGAGGAGGACCGTAGCCGTAGCCATAGCTGTTGCCATAGTAGCCGTAGCCCTAGCAGTAGCAGTAGCAGTAGTAGCAGCACCACCACCACCACTACTACTACTACTAGAAGTAGGACTAGGAGTACAAGTATTAGTAACAGTAGCCAAAGGACGTCTAAATTGGTATTATAAATTATAAACATATATATATATGTATCCGCAGAAGCAAACCAATGGCCGAGTCGTCTCGGTTGCCCCATTCGGGGTCGAGGCAAGGAGCCCACAGCGTCGGACAGTGTCTCGGGCGCTCCGCTCCTTGGAGACACCAGGGCTCCGCGGCTGCCACACATTTTCAGCACAGAGAAGGGTTTCATCACATCCTCCAGGCCAGCATGGCAAAGCATGGCGGTCAGCTAGGTCAGCTAGGTCTGGTTGCGACCGGTGACTATCAGAATTCATCCCTTTTGCAAGATCTCAAACCCTCAAGTGTCACCGTGTCACCAAGAGATTGTTAGAACAAGAAAAAACTCCAAGTGTCTTGGTATCAATCGAGTAAAAATACAATGCAACGACCAAATGAACGGCTGACAACTGCGTTGTGCTCCTGAGCAGCAACAGCAGCGGCGGCTTGGAGAAGTCCCTGCTGAAAGCCAAGGCCCGAGAGCATGCTTTGAAGAGGCTCCTGCAAACACTGGAAGAGGCTCCTTAAAATGGGGAGGCGCTTGAAATCAGTGCATGGAGCTCATGCACAATTGCAAGATAAGTACTGTAGTGAATTCCAAGCACTCGAATAACAAATAGGCACTATGGTGATCCTTCCAAATGCCCAGAGTGGATTGACCAAATTCAGTACAAATCCATTTCAGACATCTTGGCAGCGACCTCAAATCAGGTCCGAGGACAATCCTATCATCAAATTGACAATCAACTAAGCTGAGGAAGCTGCAAATAAGCCAGGACACCTGCCATGGCCTGAGCACTAACACGAAGAGCAACCGTCTTCTTGGATTCACCCGCTGCACCTTGGTAGACATCTCCCGGAGAGCTAGTCCCAGTCCTGTCTTGCGACCTCAGCTTCAGCACGGACCAAAAGCTGAGCCTTCCGGAAAAAGACCGTGCGCTTCCGTGAGCTGCCAACGTTCCGAGGCTCCAGAAGATTCAGACAGGCTTTCCTTGAAGTGGATGACAGCCATCACTTGGAAAAGGAATACAGTACACCAGGTAAACGGCCTGCTTCCGCACCGTGAAGCCCAGAATGCCAAACCAGAGTTCCTCATCCAAGCTTTCCGCTTTGCCATTGATGCTTAATGAGCTCTGCCATTGCGCCTCCAGTTGTGCCTCGGTCATGATGTTTGAGTTCCTGGAAATTCAGAGGGGAAAGGTCTATGCAGCAGTGCACCGTGATGTACCAGTGATGGTCGTGATGTGTCACGGAAATACCCCAGCTGTCCCTTCTGCAGCCCTGTCCTGGAGCTTAAGTCGTAGACATTCTGCAGAAGGCTCATGCACTTCTGTGCCTCCGGCCAAACGGTGCCCAAACGGCACTGGACATGTCAAATCCGCAAAAGCGCAGCACATGCCTCTGCAAGACCATCCCACCAAGCCTTTGGAAAAGCGCAACAAAAGCTGAATGACTGTCATTGAATGACTTGAACAAATAAACTTAAGTTGAAAAGCCTCTGCAGATCGCCCAGCAGCGTCCTTGCGTTCCAATCTGTCAAGCGTCTTCCCATCACCAAGACTACCCGTGACTACCCTCCTGGCTTGCCAGAAGTCGCTTCACCGCCTTGCCGAACGCTCAGTGAGCGTTCACTTATGTGCGGTCCGAACCCCCAAGCGTCCGGCTTTCGAGACTGCAGCACGGTCACCTCGGTCACCTAACCCTCCGAAGCACCTGAGACCGAGTCTTTTCGCATGCCATAGCCCACAAGAACTGCACTTGGCCTCAGCCCTGCACGCACAGAGTTTGTCAATCGCCTCTTGGTAGTCACCAAGCACCAGCCTTGAATGACTCGAGGAGAAAGAAAGGTGACAGTTTCAACTTTTAAGCAAATTGAAACATACAACTGCATATAAAGCAATGTGACACTGTGCAATGTTTTTTGGCATTCATCCAGTCAAAACGTTGCTTCGCATCCGAAAACTGGCTGTCTTGAAAGCAGCCAGATTCCTCGGTAGACCTGGAACTAGGATTTGCATCGGCTCAGAGCACTTCACAGCGACTCCACTCATTTTGCATCTCACTTCGACACCAGCTTGGCTTGTACCTCTGTCCAAACATCGTTGATGTGTCTGCCACCGTCCACCTTCAAGCCAGTCAGTAATGTTCAGTTCAACACAAAAACAGTCCTCCATTACTTAGTAAACTAGAGTCTGGATTGGACAGTACCACCAAAGGAATCCCACAGCTCAAAACTGTTAAACAGCATTCGTCGGAATGGGCCTTCTTGACAATACCTTTATCCTTGTAGTGCTCCAAGATGGGAAGGGTCTGGCTCTTGTAAGCATCCAAACGGGTCTTCAAAGCCTCCGCTGTGTCATCGGACCTCTGATAGAGGGGTTCACCGGTGATGTCATCTTTCATGGTGTCGGGCAATGGCTTTCCATCAGCACCAAGCTTCATGGATTTGGGAGGGGTGAACTTCACATGATAAGAGCGGCCACTGGCTTTGTGCATCCACCGCCCGCAAATGCGCTCCTCCAAAACTGCAGGATCCACTGAAAATTCCACAATCAAGGAGACGGCCTCTCCATTCGTAGCCAGCATGGTGTCCAAAGCTTTTGCTTGAGCTAGGGTTCGGGGGAAGCCGTCCAAAATGAAGCCAGACTTGCAGTCGGGCTCCTTGATGCGGTCTGCAATGATCCCAATGACGATCTCATCAGATACGAGGCCTCCTGAAGCCATCACTGCCTTGGCCTTCTTGCCAACTTCAGTTCCAGCTGCAACAGCTTCTCTAAGCATGTCACCGGTGCTAAGTTGTGGAATGTCCAAGGCATCCACGATCTTTGGCCCCTGAGTTCCTTTGCCAGCACCTGGGGCACCAAAAAGCATCATGATCTTTCGAGGCCAATACTTCTCGTACTTCTCAGCTGCAGCCTCACCCTGCTTCTTTCCGAAGACGTACCCCCCCAAAGCGCCTGCCCCCAATCCTCCAACAAGGGCAGCACCCAGTGTGGTGGCATCAGTCTCGCATCTTGCAACTGGCTGCTGCACCTTGCGCTGTTGCCAAAAGGCAAAGCCAGCAGCACTGCTGGCTCCGACAGCCACTCCCAAGCGCAGGCCGCGCAAGCCTTTAGCACCACGGAGTAGCTGCGGGAACATCGGAGCTGACCTGACCCTCCGTTCTTATGAGCCAAACAACCTCAGAGAACATGCATCCAGAGCACTGATGATGCGCTTTTTTGGTCGAAGCTAAACACCAATGCGCTGATGTGACTCATTTTGCTCTGATGGACCTAGGATCCTGGGAAGGGTGCTGTAGCACACTGGCAAAGTCACCAGTCCGCTCCAACAAATGCACAGATGCATCTGTGACGCGATACCTGGTGCCAAATGGACATAGAGTCAGGCCCTTGGATTTTGTGGACTCATGCGGTCATTAAATGTCCAAATCACATTCTGTTCCAGCACCCAAACAATCACAAAGGAGGTGCCTGCTGCAAAGCTCCAAGCACTCCCTGAGGGGCAATGCCTTCGCAATGAACGCCCACTATTCAAAAAAAAGACATGATTGGTTTCAGGTCACGTCCACAGAAACAAGAGTTCGCCTCGTTCTCAAGAATGAAGGGGAGTACAGCTGAGGGGAAATGTTGGCATAGCCTTGGTGGGGGTTCCGCGAAGCCGAAGTTTCGGCCCCTCCAGAAACAGCAGTCAACTGCAAAGGCAGGCTTGTTCGAACCACGAGAACGGTACAAGTCGATGTATCGAACCACGTGCTTGTTGAAAAATGCCTTCAAGCGAACATCAACAACTCTCTTCCAGAAGGAGCAGAAGCTGTAGAATCTGTAGAAGCAACAGCTGTCAGCTCAGGCGAATCCAAATAGTTCACTCCAAATCCCCGTCAATCCAATCCTGTCGGCGCCTGCCGATCAGCTACGCCAGCCCATCGGTTCAGGAGTGCCTGCCAAATGAGCAGAAAGCAGGTGGCAGCTACACTTAAACAAAACAGTGTGTTTTTGAGGAAGTCTATCTCCTGTCATGCATATCTTGTTGCTTTCCATGTTGGCTTTGTACTCGAAACTGGCTAGCGGATCTATTCTTCCTTCCAAAAACACGACCTCCAAGTATCGCATCTCCATTTGAGGATATGGTTTTAGGCTTTCAAGCCTCGGAGGAAGAAATCAGAAACCGCTTCGTTTGTTGCCGCTCAACATCAACCGTGACCACCTGAAGCTAAAAGAGATCACAATGCCTCTTGATTGCCGACCTGTTAGAAGCTTAAGCAGCCGCAGATTATCTTGCATATGATAAAACATGATAAAACCGACATTTGGTTGGTCTGACTTCTTTGAGCAACTGACACGCTGGAATGGTCAGGTACATGGGCAAACTGCTCACACAGCATGAGAGAGCACAGCTCGTTGTCAACGTCAACGAGAGCCTCACTGGCCAGGCCAAAAGACTGCAATTGAAAAAAATAACACAAGGAAAGACTACCAAAAAATCACGTATGTGCTTCACGCACACTGCCGCCTGTAGCCGCTGCAGCGTCGCTTCGATGAGCACTGGATTCAACTCCTTGACATCACATAGAGAAGCACAGAAACATGGTTTCAAGTCTTCAATACAATACAAGAGCTCTGCCAGCCTCTGCCAGCTTCGCAATGATGTATTCAAAAATTTGCTCTCTGAGCTCTCGATCCTGCTGAAGCTGGACCAAACCTTCCCCAAGACTCCAAGACCTATTGCTTGGATTGCTGACCAAGCAAAAGCAGTCTGTAGGATGACTGACTGTTACTGGGTTAATACTGAACAATTCAGTTCTTCTTCGTCCTGCAATCTGCAATCCAAGGCCTTTCCATACTCGCCACTCCTCTTGGATCCAAATGGCAATGACAGGATATCTCCAGTGCAACATGTTGTCCAGCAAAAGAGCAAGGAAGGATCCTCTCATGTAGCCATGAGGCCAGGCCCCAAAAGCCAGTCATCGCCTTCCAATAGTCACACAAGAGCCACCAGGAAAGATGAAGCGTTGAAGCTTGATGCATCCGTTGCCTTGGTGATAACAACGGCTGAATGCTCGTCGTCAAAGCAATCCTGAGAAGACCCAATTCTCACAAAACGCTCGCAGTCACGCAGAATCTGGGTCTACACAGGTAGTAGCTTTTTGTTACTAGTAGCGTGTCCTTGCTCTGAGTAGTACGGCCAGGAGCCCCTAGTAGCGTTCTTGCTCCTAGTAGCGATGCCAGGAGCCCCTAGTAGCGTCCTTGTTACTACAAAATCCTTGTTTAACATGCTTTAAAATGTGACCCTCCGACTCCAGTCCTGGCTTGCCAGAACACCAATCAGGAGTTGCTCGATCTTTCTGTGCCGCGTGCCTCGTGTCGCTTGCAAACTGCCAGAAACGTCACATTTCTCCAATGCCAAGTGCCTTGTGAGGTCGCAAGCACCTGATCAACGACCTCCCAAAACGTTGATGAAAAACTCCAAACCGTCAAAGAATGTCGAAGCCCATTTTCCGATTCTAAAGCGTGCAACAGAAACAAATGAAACAGAACCTGCATTACCTTCTGGATGGGCAGCTGCGCCCTCGCTCGAGGAAGGGATCTTGCAACAAACCTTGGAATTATATGGAATTATTGAGTTGACAAGTGATACAATGCTGTGGCATCTGTGCGGCAAAGGTTTTAGGCCATAGCTGAAAGACACTTCGGCGTTCTCGCTACTCCAGCATGTCTTTCCTTGGGGCTACTGCCACAGGAACTCCTTCTCCGTGTGTTCGGGAAGCGGGTTGCCATCCTGGAACTACTAGGACATCTGCAGCAACCCGGGATGCTCTGGATGCTCTTGCAGCTCTGGCCTGTGCACACTGCTTTCTGGCAACTTCCAAGGATGACCTAATTGGCGCAGCTGTTTCTGATGTTCTTTCTCATAGGTTCTTGCCCTATCTGCACAATCAGGTATTTCTGTCTTTGCACATCTCAGACTTTCGACTCAATGAGCTCAAAGAGGGTCTTCAAGAGTGAATGTTGTTCCTCCTGACATGCGAGGACGTGTTGTTCCTCCCCTCAGGACAGAGAAACAAAAAGAACAAAGTCTGACGACGATGTTGCTCGGATATCGGCTCCTTCCACCATGAAACCTTACCTGCGGCTGCTTGGTCCTGCATAGCACGGCCTCATTAATCGGAAAGCATAAGAGGAAAGCAATCCCCATCAAAAATACTAAGGTGGCCTGCAGAAGGGGAGGTGAACAAAGCAGAAAGAGTCTGGAAGAATGCAAAGGATGAAAGGCGCAACCTTAGGAAAGTGCTTGACTAAGTCACCAATTCCTCATGGAGCCAGCGTGATTCATTGAGCCCCAGGCAGTCGCAAAAACATGGGAGGAGCCTCCAAAGCTGTGCGCAACTCGTGCAACTGCTGCAACTGCAGATGCAAAGTTGCACTGCGCCTTCGATGGTTCAGGTGTCTTGAAGATGCAGGCAAGCCTGAATCACAGTTTGTCGATATGGTGTGTTGGAAAGAATCCAACACGACCATCTGGGGGATCCACAAGTCTGTGATCGCATTCGGCGGTGGTTGCACCAAGCCCAATGTGTCCTACCAACACAATGTCTACCGTTGCTTCGCAGATTCTACGATGACATTGGTTGGCGGAAAGAAGCACCAGCCTTGGGTTCCAACGGAAATGCTCTCAGCTCGAAGCACCGGTGGATAAAGAAAAACAACCTTAAAGAGGCTGAAAAGGCTCGAACAACTACCTGACTTTATGAATGGCAAGATGGATGCATGCTTAACCTGACAGTCTCCTGTGGAGAACTCTATGTTTGTGCTTGTGTGTGTGTGTCTGCGCAAAGCTTGAAATCACAGGTGTGCATATGCAGGTCGCTTTTCACTCGGAACATGCACAGCACTCTTGCGATTGGGTCAACAAATGGCCACGGAAGAGGTCGATGACAAAAGCTGCAAAGGTACCGATGACAAGAGCTTTGGTTATCAGAACCGATTGCTCCAGTCTCGTCTCAACCCGAGGCTTGTTGACCTCCTTAACGATCTTTAAAAAAGAACGAGCTCATATGCGAGCTTGTGTGAAAGAGGTGAGCGCGTAACCGTGAGCATGTGCAAGGCGTGTGCAGATTCAGCTCATGTGAAGATTAGCTGCTTAGCTCATGTCAAAATGGCATGTGCGTGTCTTGGCAAAAACTTTGCGGTGCTTTCGGGAATGAAAGAATAGCAGTTTTGAAAGTACAGCTGAGGTCGGACTTTCTGACAAGTAGGCATTGCAGCAAAGGTGCCTGGCCCGCACATAAGTTGTCGATAAGAAGCTGGCGAAGAAAAATCGACGGATCCATAAAATTGCACTGTACACCTACGCATTTCTTGCTTGGAGGGCTTCCGCAGCTTCCACCAACTTGAGGACATTTAGCTGCACCTCTTGTGGCGATGAATCTCCGGAGCAACGCTTGGCCAGCTGAGTGCATTCGCCCACCTAGGCATCAAGTCGTCCAAATCTGACTTTGAGACAGCCTCCGATTGGGCCTTTATAAAAGCACGATTATGGTGCCAGCACGAAAGATTGAGAATTGCACCAAAAGCTCCAGTGGAGAAACATAGTCTCCCAGCGCACAGTAGACATGCACCTTTGAAACTGTCTGCAAATCCAGTGCACCTGCACTTGATTGTAACCTGCAGGACTCAGTGACTAAGTCAAGCACCAATGCTGTCCACAACCTAGAGTCAGCCAAAATGAGAGGGTTCTCACAAGAAAATGCACAAATCAAGGAACGGACAGCCAACATGAAATGACCAACAAGTGAGGACCCCAAGGAAGGATCAACGAGGCCTGTGTTGAGTGAACAGACGGATCGCCAGATTTAGGTCCTGCAAGCAAGTTGAGAATGCCAAACTACCCCCCTCGGCTTGCAGATTTAGATTTAAAGGGTACTAAAGCATGAGTGAACGCACAATTGCTGCAAATGACAAGGCTCCAACCAATCTCGACACATCCACACAAAGCACAAGCTGTTGAAGCCTGCAAGTTTTGTTTATCTTTCTTTTGGTGCTACCAGTGCAGGAATTGTGATCTCAAGCACGAGCACTGGCTTAGAACAAAATGCAAGTTGAACTTCTTTGGCTTTTGTTCTAAGCCCAAAGAACGAAAGCTGAGCCTGCGAGCCACTGGAAAGAGCTCTGGGCAATGATCCAAATCTCTGAACTTGATACCTGCACCTCAAGGGAGCTGATCTTGATATCCGTGCATCGACCAATACGTTGAAGATCTTTGAAGTGGAATCTTGAGCCCCAAGCCATTCTTGCTTGCTTGTTGAGATGCCTGTCGCACAGTTTCACTCAGCGCACCAGGGAGGAGTGGACTAGTATCAAAGACCGCTTTGGTCCAGGTTAGTGCATGGAGCTTCTGCCTGCTCCTCCTCTTCTAACGGGAGTGCGTAGGATTGCAGTATGCTCGACAGCACCTGCCCGATGTTGTTGGCGAATTGACAGCAAGGGCGACAGGGCTTTTCAGCAAGACCTACAGATGTTGGCTTGAAAAAGGCAGGACTAAACCATGACAGATCAGGTCGCAATATTGTTTCTCGACAATTGACAACAAGGAGAATGCAATATAGAGCATGACAACGGGTCACCAAGTCTGCCCACCACAGGGACACCAAGTGTTGTACACGTGCAAACACTTTCTCGAGAGTACTCCTTCAGTTGTCTAAGGAAAGCGAAAAACTTATGGCCTCCAACCTACTAGCGATGGCCTCCACCCTAGTAGCTTCTTGTCACTAGTAGTAATGGCCTCCACCCTATGGCCTCCAACCTACTAGCGATGGCCTACTGGCCTACTGGCCCCTTTCCCAAACTCAACACATGAAGACAAGTAGTGAAGGAGCACGAAGGCACTGCAAAGAGCTAGTGATTCAGAATCGAAATGGAAGCGGCTATTGGCACCACAGCAACCAGACTCAAGACTCGAGAATTTCTTCAGTTTAGGCCATGAAACTCTTTCTATGTCGAACAAGACGCAAAGAAGGAAAACTCGTCTCGAGCTCGTGACTGTCCAACCTCCGAGTCCATTTCTTTTCGTGGTATCCTGCATAGCTGGCATAGCTGGTAGCTATCTACGAATCAAGACTTCACAAGATCTTGACTAAACAACAGTAAAACAACCACACAGTGTCCTATTTATTCGGAAAACCCTTACCCAAAACACATCGAAGCAAAAGGCAAAATGTAAGCCAAGGCCCAAAGCAGACTACTGGGTCCCAGAGTGCAACTCCTATAGTGCAACACGCTCGTGTGTTCTTCGGTCCTTCCATGGAGAATGAAGGGCTCCAGAGCTGCGCAGTAGATGTTCATGTGCCCAGTGGCCTGGACAGGTGTTCTCTGTCAGATACAAACGTGTCATGTTCAGTCCTTCGGTACCTGTGTTCGCGTTGCGTCTTGCGCGTTGCGTCTTTCACGCTTCTGAGGTAAAGACTTTGAAGCACTCGAATACCGTCTTGTAAAGGACAGGCCTAGTTCTATCTGTTCTTGTCAACTTGTTGCGAGAACCCTTCTCAATCTTGTTCCACACATTCACAAGAGCTGTCACGATGCCCAGGACTTGTGCCAACATTATGAGTTCCAAGGCACCCGGCCAGAGTTGTGACTCGACACAAACATTGATCGCTGTAGAGCAAATTTGTCGCACCTATTGTGCTGTCACATGTCAATGTGTCTGCCCCATGAATCTTTCGACTAGGTTCGAATTGAAGGGTGAGGTCGCTAAACACGAAGCTCGCACGATGGCTTGTCAGAGGTGAGCCTGCAGCCTGGCAGCTTCTGGTCGTAAAGTGTTCACCAAATAGGACTGGATGACCTCTCAGCTAATATCTGCGACACTCAAAGCGATATGGAAACGATATTGCAGAAAGCCTGGGTGATCCTTGATTCCACGGCTTTCTGGCCTCCGAAATGCTGAAGCCAAGCCACGCTTTCTTTGCGCTGTTGCACAAGGAACTGAGGAAATGGCGAGACGCCATTGCATGTGGAAAATCTAGCAGTGGTGGGAGACTACCTCTCCTCCTCGAAGCCAATACAAATCAGTATACAACAAAGCAAAATGAACGGTCTCGTATGTTGTGTGCTTTGAACAAATATGTGCAGTGTAAGGCCATGACAGCGCGAGAAGAACATCCAATGCTGTTGGCCAATCATTCCTGCAGGTGAACTCACATAGATTGCTCAAAGGTGACTGATATTTCAGGTAGCCAGGATCAACATGCATCAACACATGAATCTGTGCACTTTTTAGAAGAAAAAGGGACAGCACAAATAAGCTTAGCCTGGCCACCACAGATTCGATGTGCTGACCCCAACGTCCAATTTGAAAGCTCCACACCTGACCGAAAGTTCTAGTACAAAACGCTTGCAAGTGGCTTTGGCTGCCTCTTTCATGCCACAAATGTAGAGCGTCCGAGAGCGCCCACGAAACCTTTGCAATGAAGAATTGAAAAAAAGGTTCTTTTTTGGATCGAAACTTTGATCACAAACTTCTACGGGGGTTCTCCTCGAGATGCACTTACTGGGACCCGAGACTTCCTTAAACTGGCAGGTTGGGACATTCATATAGCATCGATATCGAGTGATAGCAGCAACTCTAAGCTACCGGGCACACTCAGTGCCCCATGATGCGAACCTGAAGATCACTTCTGGACGGGCGTGTGCAAACAGCTTCCCATCTAATCAGAAAAAGGTCCTTTTCGCGGCATCTTCCAGGTCTCCGGACGCATTTCCCTTCCGTCCACCGGTATGGTGTGGAAAACCAACGACCAGTTCGTGATGTCCTCGAAGCACAATTGACCGTCTTCTCTGTGCAAATCCTCGCCGATCCGTTCACAGCGCTGTCTTGGGGCGTGTCCTCCGAGTGGACGGGAGAGAGCTGCACCGTGGAAGGCCTTAGGACGATTCTACGGCATCCCTTTGAGTGCCGTGGAGCAGTCTTTGCAGGGCTGCATTTTGTCAGACGACATTAGCGCTGGACTTTGACAAAAGCAGTCGGCAGAAGTTGAAATCTGTCTAAGCTTAAGATCTGCTTGCGGAGTCAGAGGAGGAAATTGAACGGCCTTCTGAGGACTCCTATGATGAGATCACTTTGCCAATGAGAGAGAAGATCGGAAGACAGTTTTGCATGTTGCATGGTCCAGGCTATGCTTTTAGTCTTCTGGCGTGTATTTCTTGGTGACCCTTCGAAGAACAGATTTACTCACACCAGTCGCAAGGTGCCTTGACTTTGGGATGCGACGAAGATTGTTGGCATACACTCTACAGCTGTCTGGATCCAAAACCAATTGACTTTGAGAATGAGCAGAGCTTCCCAGGATCAAGATCCCCACATGTTGAGGCTGCAACTGCCTGGTAGGAAACTCCTATGTGAAAGAGAAGCCAGAGAATACCAGAAATACATCAAATGGAAAAGAATCTGCCCATACCAAGCTGGGGAAGGGCGACAGAAGCTGCAGATAGCTCAATCAAATCTAGGATGCATGCATACCGTATGCAGCATACGTTGATGTTTCACACCCCCACCCTTCTCTCAAGGAGATGCAACAAACACTCTGCATGCACCCGCTCTTGGAACAAGGCAATCTAAGCCTGGCACCGTGGCTCGGCATGAGGCAACTGAACCACGCTCAGCCTTTAAGACCAAAGGCTGCCGCCATCCAGCATGACATGACATGAATCACGAATCACCTTCAGACGACGCAGACGGCCTGTTTGCACCATCAAGGACTCCGATCACCTGCGTCCGCTCAACCAGGTTTGTGTCCGCCAATCTGCGCAAAGAACAACACCCAACATGCCAGCTATACATTGTCGTTGAAGGAGGCCAATCCACGGATTGGTGATCCCCAGTTATAGCGTCCTGACAAACTTTCTGCATGTCTCACAAGCAAGGACTTCCGGAAGCAAGCAACTATATAAATGAACGAATATTCTTGCAGAATATGTGTATTCGTAGGACCAACAAGTACAAAAACATTGAAAGCTGGCCTATCAGAGTGACTTTGAAGTCTTCCTTGCCCTTTGTCTCATTCATGCCATAGCTCACTCCTTGCCACAGGGACCCCAATGATAACTGGACAAACATGAGAATCCTCTGAGTACATGTTCCTGAGACGAGTCCTCTAGGTCACATAAGGCACTCTTGCACATCTAGCACGGGTGGATGTGAAGACCCACGAAGAACCAAGGCACACACTCATGATATGAATAGTCTGGCCATAGGCAACGCAGAGCTGGGGATCGGTCACATGTGCCTGGCAAAGAGAAGAGACACAAACTCGGACAAACAGCTCAAAAGTAAACGTAAGGTTGCCTTTTTAAGCTCAGGGGGTAGGTCGTAGTGGGCTAACAAGTCAGCTAACAAGTAAGGAGTAGCCGTAGCTACTAAGCTTAAGTAGCTTCTTGGTTTAAGTTGATACATTGATCAAAGGAAGTTTAGTGTGCAAAACTTCCGTGTTACGGACATTCAACACCTGTTCAAAACAGCACTCATCATACACCACTCATCATACACCACTCATCATACACCACTTATCATACACCACTCATCATACACCACTCATCATACACCACTCATCA